AGGCCTATGTTTGTGGACTTTTATACTCTACTTAACATGCAATTGTCAAATTAAGTATTTTATGTCTGGCGTAAACAAGATTATTATACCGCCATCTATCGAAAAACATATAAATATTTGATATCTCAAAGTCACCTTTTGCGACACCCACGAAGACTATATCTGGCGACAGAAAGCAGTGTGAAAGGTGCATCAGATTTAGTACTACAATTACCAATTCAGCTGCTTGATTGTGTCCAACTATCCTGACGAAAGGAGAGGCTATGTTCACTAGTACTTAAAGGACTTTAGGGAAACATTATATTTAATAGCTGTTGGGCATGATAATACTATTTCTATCACTAAATAATAACCAAAATTTGAAATGAGCATACCTCAACAATGGTCTCCAATTAAACAAAACCAAGGACTTTTAATTCATGACGAGCAAAGACAAAAGAATGTACGAGTACCTAACTTTATAATTTAACGGTATTGTATTAATATTGGGTAATCAAATTCCACTTTTATTTCTGCACATTGTTCTAAAAGTGAATAATTAGTGCTTTTATTTAATAATAATAATTTTAATAATACTTTAAATTTATAGTACATACAGGGAGAAAAGTAAATCTTACAAGGAATAGCATTAAAGTTAAGTAAAACACTAGTGAGGGTGACGTTATTTGTCTGTGATTAAAACTACTTTTACGGATTTTATCGCGTTTATTTTTACTTTTTATTTTTAATTCCCGACGTTTCGGGCGCTTTCCAGCACCCATGGTCACGGGGGACTGAGATGACTGACGTCCCGATGTCATTGTTAAACCCGGAGAACCTTCAGCTTTTTTAATTATTGTTTATGGTCCGATCTATGCAAAATGAACTGACTATGTCCTGAGGTCTTGCAGTGGTATGCTTGGGTTTAGTTTTAATTTTATTGATTATAGGATCCCAAGCAGGTGGTAGTACCCAGCCTCCTTCTCTATTGAAATTAGGATGTTTTTTAATTTCAATAGCCTCACGTATCATCCTTGGTAGGAATCGGTGTTCTTTCGCGAGGATTTGTGGTCTATCAAATCTGATGTAATGGTTGGGGCCGTCTAGGATATGATCACAAACTGCAGACTTCCCGGAACGTTGATGTTTCACATCAGCTATATGTTCTTTTACGCGGGTCCTAATTGATCTTTTGGTTGGAAAGTTTTTTTTTTAATTTCACTTGTTTAATGAAAGAATACGTTTTTCTAGTTGTTACCTTAATCGATAGACGAGCTTACCGCGGACTTATTGGTTTAGCGGTAATTATTTTTTTTTTTTTGAAGTTATGATTAACATCACAAAACAAATTAGAAATATCTTGGTAGCGTTCACCCTTCCCAGGGGTTTTTATCATCCAAAAGTTCCTTAATAATATAACAACCCTTATACCATTGCCTGATACCCTTATCCATACGATACAAACTTAGTTTAATAAAGTTTTTGAACTTTGTGCAGGTCGAATTTTTATTATTTTCTGGTAAATTGTTGTAAAAGCGTATACATCGCCCCAATAATGAATGAATTTGGATAAGGAATTACTGCGTGGCTTGTAAATGTACGAGTATCAAGAACGATAAGCCGAGTATAACCGCTATAATCGCAAGCTTAAAACTCGCTCGTCGATCAGGACCTTAAGTGATATTACACGTAATTTAATAAATAAACTAAACGTTAACATTATAAAGCCGTTGTGGTCTGGCTTTCTTGCGTTCAAAACGACGTATGTACATACAACTATAATCTTGACGAGCACGTGTTAAGTCATTCTTAAAATACAACTACTGATTTCATTGATGCTGGCTGGATTCCATATTCTGTGATTCCTTCATTAACAATTTTACTCGGTAAAGCTATGTTTTGGTAATAGGGGTATCACTAGATGTCGCTAGTTGACACTAAGATTATTGTTACGCAGATGGTCACACAGTGTCATCATCATTGAAAAGTTGTGTTTTAATAAAAATATTTTTTGGGTTTTTAGTGTATCTATATACGCGAATCAAAGTATCAGTGCTGTATTCTTTAAATTTACTATATTGCAAATAATTTGATCTGTACATAAGTTTGAAGATTACGACCTCGTGATAATATATTTTTCAAAAGTTGAAGCAAATGATATATTATCAAAAACATCTATTGTATTGAGTAGACGAAAGCTAGTGACTATTCAAAAACCGTAATACGTAATATTGACGTATATACTGCTGTCATAATAAAGAAGGACGTAACTAACAAAAACGTAAAATGGAGATAAAAAATAAATAGATGAATTTTTCTTTCAGACCCTGCTGCGTCTAAAATATTTTAAAATGCATCAATATGAAAATTGAAATTGATAGAGACATGAAGATTTTAAAGACGAACTTTTTTTTGATAATTTGTTTATTTATTTAAATAAAACGGATTTTCCTTTTCATTTTAGCTTAAAAAATAATCCCGGTAACGCAAAAACTTCTAAGGAAAGACGCATGTAACCATTTGCGTCTTTCCAACCTAGTAAAAAAAAACTGCCATTCTTTTAACATTTTTACATATCTCGGAAAGTTAATTTGAAACTGAATGGACGCAAATGGTCATTTACTACTTTTCTTCTTAGTAAGTATGTAACAAAACTAGACACAAAAAGTAACAACCCGCAATAAAGGGGTATTATACCAGACTTACTACGATAAAAGGTGGAAAAACTTAAGAGAGTGGTAACATTAGTGAGGTTATTTTTTAATATTAAATGCATTGTATTAGAAAAACCTAAACGAACTCAGTTACATTATGTAACACTCATAAAATCACTCTTTAAAATATACCTCTTCCAAGACTTGCTAAATAAGAATAATAGACAAAAAACAATTAAAATTTTGTTTATTAAGAAAATTAAAAAACTAAATATTAACGAATAGTTTCACATTAGGGTATGACTAATAATCACAAAAGCAAAAACTTTAACACAAATTAGTTTCAAAACATTTAAACAAAATAAATACCTCTAAAATTTAATAATTTACTTATTAATTATTTTCATATCATAGTTTTATTGTTATTGCAACCAATAAATCAAAACTAATAGTTTCCCTTCACTGTTTTTCTAAATTTGCATAAGTTTTGAGCAATTACAATTACGTGATTAAAATACACTAAAAGCTATAATTATAACTATAAAACTTAACTGCCACTTATTTGTTCTTTTTTAAATGTACAACGAGTGAATTCAAATTATTCTTAAATTTCTTTTAAGCAGGGTTTAATTAAATTACTATATTTAATATTTGAGCAACAATCACTTTTGTAGACATCTAAAAATGAAAAGAACACAAAGGTAATTTATCCTTAATAACTAAAAAAGGACAAAAGGCCTTTTTATTTCTCTCTACCACATACTTAGTCATTCTGTAGCTTCTTTCTTGTAATAAAGACAATAGAATAGAAGTATCACAGATATTTATCACTTAAAGCTAAACTCAGATTGAAGCTTCCCTTGGCCTTTTTGAAATGTGAGATCAAAATACCCTTAAATATAAAAATAAAAAGAAGATTTGTACGTTCAGTCTTCATAATTCCTTGTAAGATCCACCGCATCATCATTCACTGGCAAATTTTGCCAAAACACTCTTCTGTTTTCCGGCATGAATGGCCCTAATTCCCTAATTATTTTCGTTCTTCGTTCAGATGTAATACCTCTGAAAGTAAAATTTTGTTTGGGACCAGGTATTCCATTTTTAATATTCTTTACCCTTAAGAAATCTAGTGAATGTTCATCACCATCGAAATTTGTTTTATAAAAAAGCTCGTATTGATAACCTCTGCGAAAAGTAATTTGGCACATATCATTTAAATATGCCCGCGGATTCGAGTTTTGTAACTTACACCCAGAAGAGCAGTCTTCAAATTTATAAAAATCCTCCACATTAATTTTTTTACTGTAATAGATTTATAGTTAGTGCTTAAAACAGCTTGATAAAAGTTTTCGAAATCTTAAATTCTTTTTTTATTTTTCATAGCCATTTCTACTCTATGATGAAATTCATCAGCAGCCATAAATGTGTGACCAACTTGAAGATATTTGAATGTAACAGTTTCAAATGAAACTTCAGCTGAATTAATGAGGTATAACGTATATGAAAATAGAGCCCAATTTTTATTCTGAGCAGCGCAATTATCTAGCCAAAGCACTAAGTGCTTCATGTCACGATTTTGTAAAAAAATGCTCTAAAGTAACTTACTATGTCATCTTTCTTTCGACCAGATATACCTGCATGCCAAAGAGCCGAAAATATTTAAAAAAATTTCAGGTTGCTTTCTTTTCTCCGATTGGTACGAAACTTTCATTGAAGAAAATTAGGCGTGGACAAAACAACACTGCTTTAAATTGCTCCATGCGCGGCAACATTATAACTTTCTGTAAATCAATGACGAAATATGCAGTATCAGAATCACCTTTCATATTATTTTGTATGTCAACATTACGCTGGTACTCAGCTCGAGCCCTAATGTACTTTTCGTGGTGAATCTCATAATTTTTACATTCCTCACAATTTCGTTTTTTTTTTTGCAGGATTCAGTACAACCCTTTTTTAATTGGTACTTTTCCGTTCTCTTTTTCAATATGTTAATTTGTTTTCTGGTTTTTAACGACATCTCATATCTCTTTCTCTTTCTTATAGTTCCTTTTTTAGTATATAATAAATCATTTTCTTCCTGCTCTGGCGAGTCTAGGATTATTACACTTTGACTATTATCAATAAATTCTTCCTGAGAATATGTATCGGTTTCTTTTGTAATCGGTAGGCGGTATATAATCTTTGTCTTTGACAGAATCGTCAAAGTCAAAAATATATTGATCTGAAACTATTGGGAATAATTTAGGACCTATTCTTCCTCACAATAACAATTAAGCTTAGATTTCTTTAACTCTCTACTAATCTTTTTATGCGATAATAAATTTTCTTCATTTTCGATAGTCTCTTCAGCTGTTGGAAATTTACTTAAATCATATTGAACAATGTTTCTAGTAAAAGCACCTCTGAATCTCTGACATTTTCGTTCTGCATCTGACTCAACTGTATCAATTCATCATCTGATTTTTCCACTTCAGTTTCCGTTGAATTTAGCGTATTTGAATCTGGACCCTGTATTACATTAGTTACCATATTTAATAGTTTTAAAGATCTACCTTTCTTCATTTTAGAAATCTGAAAATAAAATAAATGTAGAAAGTTACAGACAGACAAAAATTCTTAAAACTATAGATTAAACCTATGTATCGATAATAATGCCTATTTCAATAGGATTTTCCAAAAAATATTTAATGTACAGATTCGACTCAGTTTTAATTTATATGCATAGATAATTTTTATAATAAAAACGAATAAATGGAGACTTTACAAAATATGTTCAATACGTTTAACATTCTTACCTTCTTTCGCAATGAAACCTGACGTGACCACAATCTCGAACGACTTGTGCGCAACTGACGAAACATTCCTGCACTTCCCCCCTCTAACCGCCACGATGTACCCGAATACTTAAAGAAAAGACGCAAGTGGCCACTTCTGTTTTTCAACTTAGAAGTTAAATAAATGATATAATCTCAAGCCTATAAAAAAAGTCGGAACGTCATTTACGTCTTTTCAATTACAAAGTAATTTAATCATTGATGCTATTTTAAAAACGCGCCGTCATTTGCGCCTAACCTATTATGTTAATCACTGTGAGTACTAAGATGATTGGACGTAAGAAACCAAAAGCGTCTTTTTTTTCAAAACTATTAACTTATGTCTTTTCATTTAAATCGATGCAAATATTGTTAAAGATGACGGAGCAACTAGTTAAATAAGTCTTTTCTTTTATGTTGAATTTGAATACGTCTTTTCTACTTAAAAAATATCATTTTTGAACAGCAGTTACGTCCAAAACTCTTACGGTATTTTCTAAAATATTGATATTTTAGAGAATTAAAAAAATTGAGTAGATGCGCCGTTTTATCCTGAGTCGAATGGTATATTTAACTCATTTTGTCAACAATTGTTAGATGCGCCCTTTTTTCTTATGACGGCAGTATAGTATACATATGTTTTACAAAGTTACAGAGACAATACTGATCTCTCAGCACATTCAGCAGTTCACCACACATCACCATTTAGCTGATATTTTACGATGGTATTCTTTGAGAGCATGGTCCTTACCTGGTCGAGTTGATCCATTCTTGCTGCAAATTTAATATAGATGAAGTGTCTCTCTACAAGACTTTACTAAAACGGCTAACTGATTCCCACGACAGATTATCTAAAATATCAAAATAACGAGTTTGAGGAATTCCATAAAGATTCATGGTTTTCGTAGACGGTGGCGATGAAGAGCAGCTTCATAGATGCGAAATGTAGATAGATTTAAATAGACCGCTACCATGTCTCCAACATACATAATTTACGTAGGAGGGGGGATAGTGTTACTCCAACAACCAAATTTCGCTCGCATCATAATGCTTATATCTCTATAATTATTTCTTGTGCATACACAAGAAATAATTATAGAGACCAATAACAGATGCACTCTCTATTCCCTCACTCTCGTAGTCCGATGGAACGGTAATCCTACACGACCAGAGAGAGATCAGGCGCAGGATCAACGGCTTTACATGCTTTCTGAGGCACGGGTTGAAACACCGCCAACTTCCTGACTCCGGGCTGATACTGAAAATTATTTGTCAGAAAAAAAACCTAACTGATTTGATCTAAGCCGGGATTTGAATCCGGGATTTGGATAATATTTCCGCCGATTTAAAAAAATATTCAAACATCCCAGCGGTTAATCTACGTAACTATTCATTCTTAGTACCTACCTTGGTCCCTACCGAATGAAGGTCATGTAAACAAAAATAATAAATCTTCGGAGTCATTAACGTCTCGTAGACATCACTGTTACTTGTTACCTTTGAAAGGGTATCTCCAACCATGTAATTATATGTGGCAGGTGTAAAATATATGTTATACACTTTTCACAGATAATTACACGGGTAAACGGACCAAAGTCAATTATTTAGTCTATATAGATTAAGCGTTGAATGTGAAATTTTGTAGTTAGGTAGAATTGACTTCACAATTTATTATAGAAAAAAGGTGACAAACGAGCACACAGTCCCCTTATGGTGAGTGGATGCTGTGTCTCATAGACTTCTACATCTTTCCTCGATTAAGGATCAAAATACAGAATGCGCTGTCACCCTGAGGACTGAGATGGAATGCCTCGTTTCTGGTAAGAAGGTCCTCCGGTTTTCTACACCCACCATACGAAACAGAAGAGCATTGAGCTGCTATTTTAGGCGGCTGTTATTCAACGAGGGCGTGGTCCTTCCCAGGTTAAGCTGACTTATTCATGCTATAACAACAATACAGCTGCAATGTGGCTCTATCACGTACCTACTTTTATTGCGCATTTTTTTTTAATTTTAACGTTTCATTCATGGTTGGTCAGATTTAGGATATATCAGAGGCTGAGCGCTATATTTCACCGTTTGAGAGCTCCCCAGTTACGATCCACCGCCAATAAAGTAGTCAGTTGTAATTTTAAATGACCGACTGAATATGAAGCCGTGTAGTATGTGTAAGAATATGCATCACCCCATATCATCCCGTTGGTATCGAAGGAGGCTTGAACGAATTAACCACTGGACCCGACATAAAACACATGTTTGAAAACTCGTTCAACCAAGTGGAGAATAACGCACCAAAGATTTTATTACGTTAATATAATAATAAATATAACACAGATATGAAATTCGTAGAAGTTCACTGTAATTCTAGTGCTTGAACGTAGTCGATAAAACATATCGATGAACGACTGAGAACGAAAAAGCGTATCGTAAATAAGCTGTAAGACAAAGGAAATAAAGAGATAATGAAGGTGAGGTAACCTTCCGGTATTTAAATTTTAATTAAAATAAAAGAAACAGGACATTTTTATCGACTTTTTATTCAATTGGTTATGATAAACGTCAAATTTTTGTTAAGTTTAAATTATTTAAATAAGTTTACAGACTTTTATTATGTATCATCTTGTTTTGTTCGCTTGTTTTCATATATAAGCAATTCTAATATTTATATACTTTTCAGCAACGGCTTTCGTTAATTCTTCGACGTGATTCACGTCGTCGTTTTCAAATAATCATGTCCATTATTGACCTGAAAATTTTCTAACGTGTCTAGTGATGTAAAAGATCTTATAAAATTGCATATTTTTTGTTATTTCGTATCGCACAATTGAATTTTCATATTAAGCCAGGAAAAAAAGTTGTGTTACTTTGTTTATCATTCTCAATAGACTTTTGGAGACGGAACGCCCAGAAGATATGCCAAAATATATTAAAATAGTGTTTTCCACGTTCCATTTCAGACTACGAAAAACTTGTTCATTCGTCATTTGTTTTATTAATGTTCAGAATAACAAATTTCTTTTTTTATGACTTATTAATTTATGATTAGATACGATTTTTTATGGTTTTATACTACGGTATGGAAAGAAAAATAAGTACAGACTTTATCTGACAGCTGTTATAACCTCAAAATTTTATTTACTTAATAGCATTTTTCCCTGGTCTCTAAACTAAAATATGATAAGTTATTATGTTATTACAAACATTAATTGTTTTTATACAACGGTAGTTGTAGGTAGACGCAACTTGTTAAAGAAATCAAGTGGCAGCTCAATCAATGTATAGAAAATGGACATGATTCTTTATGGAAATGTATGTCTTCGCACAACTGAAGTTCCAGCAATGTTTCTGTTACTTTCCGTAGGGGAAAGTCTGTTGCGTAATCTTTTTTTAGGCTTTTATTCTGAACACCCTTCGTAAGTTCGAGTTCGCAGTGCTGACAAATAGCTATGGTATCACTTGAGGGAAGTATCAGTTTTCACTTGTTTTATGGGCAATAAGACTGCCTTTATTGGTGTCATTTTGTGTTTCTTTCCATTAGTATTAAAACAGGCAGTATCGAAATGTATACTGCATATGGCGCTGTGTTTCGTCGGAATCCAGGTTTGCTGTATTCTGTTCATCTGTTGAACTGCTTTTACCCACTTTTTTTCCGAGAAGGGTCACTAGGAAATCTTAAAATTCGTGTATTTATATGTTTAAATATTTTAAGTACAGATACTAATTATATTTTTGCATTTATAATATTTTTTATTTAATTATAAAAATTACTATTATAAATTTAATGACATCAGATTGTAGGATATTGTTATATAAGTATTTTAAGTGTATTGTACAAATAACATCATCATTAATTCGCTCATATCGTCAAATATCGATATATTTTTCGACATGGTCAAGCTAGTCGATGTCAAATTGACTCACTCCACAGTTTTAGTTATTTGTTCTGAATGGTATATAATCCACCCATTTTGTGATGGTTGTCAGATGTCGACAATACATAGAAATATCGACTATATTTAACATAGTTGGATAATACAAAATTTTATATTACATTTGATTAAATTGTAATAACAAATACAATAATAATTGATAAATAACAACAAATGTAATAAAATAATGTAACTACAAGTGAAAATAAATAGTTATGCTTCAGCCGATATAGTTTTTATACCATTTAACTGAAGATTTGGTCATATTTGGGAGATGTTTTGTTGACAAGTAAGTGCTTAAGACTGACGCAAAAACAAACGACCAAGGCTAGAATTTCCCGGTTACTTACAAGACCGGTATAGGTAAGTCCGCTTATATTTTGGGTCCAGTGGTTAATTCGTTCAAGGAAGGAGGCTACAGAGGGGAAAAACAGTATATATGCAGCAGTGTTTACTTAGTAACAACTTAAAATATAATATTGCGGCTTCCAACCTGCTTGTCGAGTGTAGAAACTATGGAAAATATACCACCCCTGGGGGTCATCTATGTGGAGCCCTTTGTTCAGGTGCGGGCTTTCGATGCACTGTAACGAATGACCAATGTTTGACCAATGAGACCAATTTTAAATGTTGGGTTACCACGTGATATAATCATCAACTCGTGAGTTGCTTACTCAGGGTGTTTAACACATGTCACGTAACTCCATATCACTACTGAACAAAGGCCTCCCCTATAGACTGGGGTCATACGGTGGATTATGTCATTAGTCGGTTGGCAACCGTAGTTTTTCATCATTTATCTTATAGAATAAAAATGACAAACGAGCACACAGTCCACCTGACTTTAAGTGGATGCTGTGGCCCATAAATATCTACATTTATCCTCGATTAAGAATCAAAACGCAGATACGTTTACACCCCTGAGGACTAATATGGAATACCTCATTTCCAGTATTAAGGGTCTTCAGATCTCTACACTCACCATACCAAATACATCAGTGTTATTTTACGCTGCTATACTGTGAGAGCGTGGCCTTTCCCCGGTCGAGCTGACGACCCATTCGTGCTACAACCATAATATAGCTGTAGCGTGGCTCTACCACGCATTTTTTAAACATT